CATGTACGTTAGACGCGTTGCACGCTGCCGCTACAATACACAAAATGACAGCCATTAGGCTACACCGATTTAATTTTATGGATGACATCCGCGCGCGCATTAGTTTTCGCCTGTTCTCAAAAAAAAAAAAAAAAAAAAAAATCTCCGACGACGAGTCTCCACAGATCGGTTTTCTGTCCGGAAATTGCCGACTCATATTGTCGCAAAGCGCCGACTTGTCGTAAAACTCGTTTTGGACTACCTCAAAACCAAACTACTGTAAAATGACTAATATTCACTGGGTTTAAATTTCACTGATTTACCATTTCAGGCATATTCAGTGGGTTTTAAATTCACGGTTTTATCATTTAGATAATGTGTTCTATGCTAAATTTTACATATTCACTGGGTTTTAATTTAGCGCATTTTTCCAGTCAGCGAAATAAGCTAAATTAAAACCCAGTGAATAATTACCCCCTTTACAGTAGTTAGATGCGCGTTACGCTAAGCGCAAAGACCTATGGGAAAGAGATTGCCTCAAAACATGCAAATGTTGCCATAAATGATCCAACATGGCGACCACACCACCAAAATACGTGAGCATAAAAGTTCAGAGCTGAAACGGAGGGATTTTTGTAGACGTTGGCAAGGGAGACGTTTACACAGCTATACAAGAGGTCGGTAGCGGCAAGCGAGTTTCGCCCAGACAACTTTGAGAACATATTGTCCAGAGTGGCTGTCCCGCGTTTCTTCTGCAATGATGAGAGAAATGGGAGAGGAGTGGAGGTGTATGGTGGCCTAAAAGTCGGTCAGGCGACAAATCAGTTCGGTTGCTTTGTCCGCATTGAAGTCGACAAAACTGCAACGAAAGCAGCAGAAGCTCCTTGGCCGAAGTCCCCTTACGGGGTGACGTTGGTGTTTGTTTGTTTTTAATATCAAGCCTCTTATAATTTGTTACATAGTTGAAGTAGTTCTAGAGCATTTGTGTCTACACTTAGTCTATTCGAAGTGTCACTTTAAAAGCTGTAGTTTGAATGTCAAAGAAGTTTATTTCCAGGTTGCTGTTGACAAACTTATTGTTCATTTTTAATTATTTTTTTTTCAATACAACACAGTAAGTTTTTCTTTATTATTGAGTTGATGTGTATGCCTTTGGCACAGCTAACATCTGCCTTATCCTCTTGCCTTTTCAAAATCAAAGGTGATGATACCTGTGACAGTAATACAGTACGAGATGTGTACATCAACATGTGCTTCCTACAAATAAAGACTTGTTGTTTTTTGATACACTGTGGTTAAATTCGTAATAATAGCTCCGTAATCCTGTGGGTTTAGCAGCATTTTTTTTTTTTTTTTTTTTGGCCGATTTTTTTTTTCGCCCTCTCGCATTAGTTTTAGGGTCTTCAGAGGATGTCATCCATAAAATTAAATCAGTGTGGCCTTAGGAAAAAAAATGTAAATGACAAATGATACAAAATATTATTACAGAGGGCGCAAGATATTTACATACACCAGACCCCCCGCACCCGGTAGGCAATCACCGAGGGACTTTGCAACATCCCCAGACAGTTTCTTAGACACTCCAGTACATGAGTAAAACATGATTGTTTGATGAATGTTTGACTGGACGCTTACACGTTGTAATAGTTGAACCCATCTGAAACGCTGGTCCGTTGTTTTGATTAACTGTCACGTAGGTGTGTATGTATGTAACTTTATTGCGTCTACAACGCAACGATCATTGGAGCATCTAGGGAAGTGTCTTGGGATGTTGCAAATGCCTCGTCAGTGTTTGTAAACATGTCTGATCACTTGATGTGAACCCGGACCGCCAGAATGACCGGCCTGGTAGGATTCATGTATTCCAGCGATCAAAACTTTTGCTTGAAATGTTGAATATACTACTTACACTGTCGGGACGTATTCTTGCGGAAATGCGTTGTGAGTGTACACCCACAACATACACGTTTTGCCAACAGCGCCATCGCCGACAACAACGCACTTGATGTTCCTGGCTGCCGACATGCTGTGAAATAAAATGATGAAACATATAAATGACGTTACTATGCCAACCCGGAATCACGCATTTCTCATAGAAGAAATACTTTAATAACTAGACGAGTTCAAGCGACTATGCTAAAAGATCAGAGGTTACATATCCGACATTTGTTAAATACATGTATAGCGGAACGATTGGACCCCGCACTGATTTACTGCGAGTCCATGCTTGGACGTTGTTTGCATGATACGATACCCAGGAATAAACAGGGTTAGTGTGGAACGTGTGTGGTGAATGGCTAAGCTGTGTGAAGGCATGGCCAAGAAATCACTTGCACGTCATTTGAAGTTCATTTGCAATCAATACGATCCATCTATCAATCAATCAATCAATCAACTATTTGGGGTCACCTAAGCCCATTTTGGCGTAAAAGTTAGTGTGAATACAAAAAACACAATGTCGGGCAATAGGCTTTATTGCAATAACGTACACAAACCCATGTGTAAATTTTACAGTCACGTGGTAAAAGTTATTTCGACTCTGTATTAAATTAGATTGACACAAATTTGGTGAGAAAAAAGTGACACATTTGACGAAAACGTGATCATTATTAACAAAAGAAAGTATGCCATTCTTTCCATAATCGTTACTTGGAGGAGGGGGTGTTCATAGAACGACATGGCTCGCAATACAAGTTTATATTCGATAATATAATACCGTAGGGGCTATGATTATCTCCGACGACGTTACAGCCGACATATTTCAACAGGTGGCGGCTGTACAGAACAATGACGTAATTACATGTATAAGAATTGACTGGTACTAGTAACTGGTGAACCGAATGCGATGTCAATTAGAAAAGTGTGGTGGGAAAATTAAAATAATATTTGTTGACTATTGCAACAACATTTATGATCCATAGACTTTACTATGTGAAGTATAAAGGTTGTTAAAAAGGTAAAGATGAGGCCATGAGGAAAGACTGTTAAGGGGATAACTGGCATATTCTTGCGGAATAAGTATTCAAAGTATCTAAATATACTGTGTCAGGGGAATATAGACATTGTCTATTTCAATAACAAAATACCATGTTTAAATAAACGTCGAATAGTAACACAACATAATGTAATGTTAATACAAAATCAATATTTATATAACATTTAATAAATTTCTTTTGCCAACATTTCTAATCACGTGACGTCGCGGCGTCCGATAATCATTTCCGCGTGGTGTACGAGATAACAGGCAGGCAACCATCTCATGAATTGGCATGCGTGCATAAAATAGCATTCATTTTACAATATAGCATTATAATTACACGTTATTTCGTGAATGTCTGGCTGGGAATTAATGAGCATGGGTATTATAACTTCAACATTACACCTATTATAATCACTATTTGACAAACTCACGCTTTCTCGTATGTATTTCTAAGACATAGAGCAGATGGACTCCCATTACGAAGACTCATTTGGGGTCGAGTCCGTCATGATACGAGTCCGATGCCCAGAAGATCTTAGACCCATAGCAGGCATTAGGAACCGTGTCCCCAGTTTTATATAAAATATTACATATTATGCCATATGCCACATGTACGTACACGTACGTAAAAGTCGGCGACTGTCTCAGATGTTTGACTCTTGAAATTGAGGAAGGAATTGCGTAATAACTAACGTATGAATTTAACTCATGATTTAACTCTAAACGAAATATATAGTCCTGTGTATTGATCGGCGTGTATTGCGCAGAGCCTCGTGAGTCCGAGGTTGGTTCCAGCCTTGGTGATTTCTTCTTAGCGCAAGTATTTTTGTTCATACAAAACAGACATTGAAATGTAGTAAATGTATTACTAAAGTCATGCAATTGAGCATTTTGGTTGAACGAAGTTCATGATAGATATAATTTCAAAAACAAAGAGTCCAAGAAACCACGATATTAAGGACAGGGGAAAGGGGACTGTGACAACAGCAGTTGCAACGAATCATAACATGCAGAAGTCTAAACAATACGAAACTGTTCTAAGCTTAGGCAATCACTCTCTGAAAAGTTAAACTGGACGTCACTGATTTGTGTTTACAAATAAACAGACAACATTTTGTTGTGTCAAGTAACAAATATTACCAATAAAGAATACAATTAATCATTAAAGCCGAGAAACTAGGAAATAATTTCTCAACGAAAGATACAAACTATGTTTTTTTGTCTTGGATTTGTTTTTCGTCGTAATATAATCCTTTTCAACCGTTATCAAACGAAGGGACCGAGACAAACTAGACCAAGAACTGAAATCAGCGAAAGAAAATGCCCTTCATGTAATACTTGAGAACGAAATTCATTTTATCACTCAATGCAATTGCAAACTATACACAGGCGAACGAAAACTCGTCTTAAACTATTTTTTACATGTATAAAGGTAATTAACTACATTCATGTTGCGTTTGAACGAAAACAGGTTCTTTCGGAGAAAATATGTTAATTTATTTTGAAATTCATGACAACTGTATTATTACGTCATCCATTTCTCTGAAATGTTCTGCTGATTTGTTTTAACAAAATAATTATTATCATTTATACAATAAAAATAATTATTATTATCATTTATACACTAAAAATTAATGTCAAACTTTCTTCAAGATGAAAATAAATTATTCTATTATATTAATATAATACAACCACTGGTCGAAATCTCTAATTGCCCTTATGTGTGACCATCGCTGACATATTTGTTTTTATCTGATATATGTATTAAAACACTTCCTGATAGATACGTGTGTGGTCAACAGTATCCAGGGCAGATAAACTTTCAACTCGCAGTATGTGTTATGCTAGTACTGGAATATAATTACAATTTTCATTTGACCTTTGAACTTTGTATCCGCCTTAAACACACTGAGATGTAGACCTAACGATAATAGGTCAATTGTACAAAGCATGACACTAAAGATACGTCCATCGAGGATTTAGGATTAACAGTTGAGAGAAATGTACTATGACAGCAGATATTAGTTTGACAAAGCATATTATAGGTATTAGTATAACAATGAACGACTCTGTTTTAAATAGGTCATGTTACAAGCAGGATAGACATTAAAATAAACAAAAAATCGATTTTATATCTGTTTCAGACCATGTTCGTCAGATTTAAATAATGAACGTTTTCTAGTAGCGCGGAATCGGGGTGTATACTTTTGACCCAAATCTTACATGACTCAGTGAGTTCAGAGTGTTTTACATGTCGATAACAGTTGTCAGTCCCCATTAAGTATACTTAAATCTGCGTACAGTTATGATATGTATGTCAGCCACAATGTAATGTTCCAGGGCCATCAGGGACACTATGTAGAAGCTCGTTAAAATAGAGTGACATAAAGACAAATGGATGAAAAGGACCCCCCCAATAGATAGTTACAATAGTCATGTAATTAAACTCTTCGTCACACCCCACGCCCGAACACCAAATGGTTAGCTGGCCCACGCAAAGCGTCTTGTTTCATGCCGTTACAAGTTGGGGTTACCGCTATAGAGAGATTCATATACCAACATAAATGTACAGCTTGTAATTTGATAAGACAGATACATAGATTGTATGATCCCGGCTGACGGTAATCCCATGACAGTAGTTTAACACCTAGCTGTCCACAGTTGGCATAAACAAAGACGATTTTATGTGCCGAAAAATCACGAATATCCTACCTTTGTCTCGTTCAAGCCCAAATCCAGTTGTCACCTACGTATTAACGTCAAAAATGTAATTGACGGAACTAATATTAATATTTGTGACCGTGATTTACCTATCCAATACCAGGAAGTGAAACGTACACTGTGCACAAAGTACCAGAGTATAAATGAAGTTTTTTAGCTACGCTATAAATATCTGCCAATCACTGAACAAAGTCCACGCAGTCCGACCAATCACCTAAAGAGGGCGCACTCAGCCAGGATACTCTGTGAATCAGCTGATCGTCGGATGTTTTTGAACCCCCCCCCCCCCAGTGTTGTTACTGCTTAGCCAGTTTTGTTTGTAACGTATAATAATTGCTTTGTCTTCTACTACATTTTGTACTATATATTATTTTTAACGTTTGTTTTATATATGGCATGTATCTGCTTTTATATCCCTCAATAAAGAAATAACAATACTCTCGGCGCAACAAAGGAATTCTTTCATCTTTATAAATATATATCACAGATAATGTAACAAAATATATTATTTAGTGTCAAATAAAATATACTATACTATACTATCACAATTCAACCTGTAACGAGAGGTTTTTAATTGGCTGATTGAATAACATTGGAACGCTTTGAAACGTGGTTGTTGCACACTGCTCGTTGATTGGCTCGTTTGAGAAAGATAATAGAATGCCCTTGTTACACCACGGTCACTAGAAGAACTTCTTCTAGTAATCGTGGTTACACCAACAGTAATATGTACATTGTGTATTTACCAAATACAACCAGCAAGCCATTGAATAGATTAATAACATCACATACTTAGTTATAAAAACTAAAAAGTGACTGGTATTAAAAATAAATTTCTTCAGAAAGTATTAACCGAATCAATTAAAAAGTGGCATAAACTTTTCAAAAACTAATAAAAATAAATAAATAATCAAATAAAAGAAAAGATCAAACTATTGTTTTGGGGCAAACAACAACAGACAGTTAACAATGATAACCGCGGTCTTTCCACTAAAAGAACAAACGCACTTACACGGTTACCTTGTCACACTTAAATACTATGAGCAGTGTAATTCACTAAGTTTTGCCTAGGTGATCATTGCCGCAACATCCAAGTTGGCTGGCTTAAAAGGATTCCAGTAAAAGACACGTTTATTTTCAAATTGAATGCCATAAACACAACGGAAGTATCTGTTCAAAGAGCATGTTTAACGAAAAAATTCACCATGCTACTCCGTAATGAACCATCCATCTACCATAGTTCATCACTAAAAAAAAAAAGTAGGAGTTCGGACATCAACCCTCGGTCTTTTTGTCGTGACTGTTGAAGTTATAAAGTTGAATGCACATGTTACGGTGTGTAGACATGAACAAAGAATGAGCAGACCTTGAATGAAACATGCCCAATATCTTTGTAGATCATAAATTTAAACTAACAAGCATGCATGCATGCCCAATCATACAGGTCCATAACACTGACTTACTACAGTATATTTGCAATCCAAGAATCTGACTCAACACGATAAATATTTCAGTGAACATTGTAATAATATTTCATTCGAAGATCAGGCAGCCAAAAAACATATGTGGGTTCCTTCCCTTCCATTTTTAATTTTTAATTCATGCAGCTCAGATGAATGATCTTGGCCAACATAATGGTTGGTATTTCAAAATTTGAAACCTTGTCTTTATGCATGGACAGTGAGATCCAGGATGTTCAACAAATAGTACAAACAAAATTAAATTACGACACACAAATTTTATGAAATGGTAGCAAGGTTCACAGTGACTTGCTTTTTGAAAGCCTAAAGGAAACACTTGAGGTACTCAAACTAGTTTCTGAATTACGAACCAGAGTTGGGTGCATGTTGATTAATTTTCAACTCAAAATGGTCATACTATAGGAAAATTTTCAAGGAAACCAGTTCAGGAACCCATTTATTTATTTGATGATATCTTTCACTCGCAAAATAATTTTTTAGTGATTTTAAATTTCCCCATTCTAACAGAACTGATTTTGTAGGAATCGCACAAAATAAAGTTGAGTCAGCTTGTTGACTGCTGGGAAGGTTTGTCTTCAAAAAAAACACGAAAAGTTGTATGTGATTTTATAGGTGACTTGAAACACAGGCAAAAATGTTGTGTCCAGATTTGCTTTGTATTTACACTTATTTTGTTTATAAAATGTGAATCTCATTTTACTAAAATTACATACTGGTATAGTAATTCCAGCACTACCCCCACCCCCACCCCCGGTATATAGTAAGATGTCAATGTGATT